TTGCATCAGCTCCAGTTTGACGTCCAGTACCACCAGACCGTGCTCGAAGAAATGGACATGCAGGTCGTCAACCTCGCCGCGGACTTGCGCGACGGCATCCGATTGGTACGTCCAGGGTGTGTGTGTTTCTGAGACGGTTTTGGCAGTACGTTGTGCTACTGTATGTAGTACTTCGAAGTACTTCACAGTTAGTACTAGTACTTCGAAGTACTACGTAGTGATACTGTATGTATTAATAGTACTTTACTACTACGTACTCCTGAGTACTAGTAATGGAGTATTGAAGCCGAATACTGTAACGTTACTATTAATAGTACTTGATACAGCACGCTGAGCCATAATATTAATGCACTGTTATTGTTTACTTTGCATGCGCCAACTTCGCACTTTGAGGGGGGGTGAAGTATTCATGCGGCGCCACTCAAGTCGGCAATAACGACACCTTAGAATCACTCAAGTTAGCAAGATTGACGTGAGTTAAAACATTAATAATTGCAAAGTCGTAGTATTAAGGAATTATCAACTTGACTTGTCGTTGTTCACGTTCACATCCAACCGCAACACTTGGCTGAACCGCACTAGCATGGAAACGTGTTCATCTTGGCTTGCGTAGACCACTTGTAGTTGAAAGTAACTTCGACGTCGGCATCAATATTGGTCATTGCCGTAATGGCAATTCTCTTCTCACCATGCAGTGTCCACACACCTCGGCGATGCAGTTCGGCTCACTGGTGTGGTTGATGAAACGCGAGTTGTTTCCGTACAGTTCGGCTCACAGGTGTGGTTGATGAAACGCGAGTTGTTTCCGTACACCTTGGCGTCCACTTACGTACTTGGAGATACAGTAACTGCATGAAGTAGTAGTCGGGCACTTGGGCGTGGGACATGTTGCGGAAACGCCGGAAGAATTCGTCCTTGTGTTGGCCTGCGTGCACAGCCACATCCAGGCGCAAGCCAAATCCTTTGTCAGCCGTGCGAAAGAAGCTGTGCTTGACAGCCGAGTCTTTGTCAAATCCTTGGTTCGCGCATAGAGTACCCATACGACAATGCAAAGGGCACGAGTTATTATTGGTAACGTTGATGCAATTGTTGGTGTTGCACATGGGCTCACTGAAGCGATTGTTGATTCGCCAAGCGGGTCACCTTGGCACAGCTGCGCAACCTTGATGAAGACGACTGCCTTCAATGGTGGGCAAGGCCATTACCGTCAGTCGACACCGAAAGGATAAACACGACATACCTTCGAAGCTTTCCTCGCCATTCGTGTGAAACAGACTACTCGGATGATAAAATAAATTTTTATGACGCAGACGAAATTACAAAAACAAAACGCACTCGAAGAACCGAAAGTTAATGCATTAAAAAGATGAAATTTAATGATAGCTTACAAGTTTTTATTTTGAGAAGAGTTTTTGAGTGGCTAGTGAAATCCTCTTTGAACTGACTAACTTGTAACACAGACGATGGAAAACCTGGTTTTAATCATTGTGCCTTCGGCTCATGTCAACTATTGTATAGCACAGGGGTTTGTGGTAATTAAATTTGCCTTTCAAATGCTATGAAGTCACTTCACTTTAAATGGCGAATCAACGCTTCACGTACAACGGAAAGCTCGAATGCGTGAATGCCCTTACTGCAAGGCCACGATGTGTGGCGTCAGCACCATCTACAAGTGGATTGCAGAGCGGGCAGCAATCGAGCAACATGTGAAACACGGCTTTGGGGTCAAAGTTCGTGTTGTGGTGAAGAGTTATGCTCGGAAGCAGAAGGTTGTCTGCGCGACACCTTCAAGGTATGCCCTCCGCGCCCCCCGCAAGCCCATCGACGAGGTTCGTCGCGTCCTGGAGTGGCTTGCTGGAAGTCCATCCGGATCGGTGTCCTTGAAAGAGCTTGTGAATCAGTTCTCCATCGTACCTCAATTTCCAGACAAGAGCATTCAAGCACAGGTCGCGTTTGTTCGTCGCATGGTGCGTGCGCATGCCCTGCATGGTCATGTGTCCTTCAAGATCAAGCGCCACACAGGAAATCCCACGAACAGTGGCTCCAGCCCACCCGTCGACCCCCAGGAACAATCACGATACGAGATGCCATCGCTGTCCCTTGCCCCCCCGATGCATCAAGCCCCAGCTAGGCCCTTGGCGCCCAGGTGCTCAAATTGCCGTCGATGCCAACAATGCCCCCATTAGCAGCATGGCTCGATGAACCCAGCGACGACAACGACGACAACCTCAGTGACATCGGTGTTGATTCTGTTGATCTCCTCGACGTCCTACTTCAAGACTACGACTGCATGTCGGATAGTGAGCTCAGCGAGGCATATGCCGTGCCGAAGTGTGCATCTGAAGTGGACCGCCTCAACAAGTCGTGCATAAGTATTGCTTCTGCTTCATAAAAATAAATTCCAATATCCGAGTAGTCTGTTTCACACGAATGGCGAGGAAAGCTTCGAAGGTATGTCGTGTTTATCCTTTCGGTGTCGACTGACGGCAATGGCCTTGCCCACCATTGAAGGCAGTCGTCTTCATCAAGGTTGCGCAGCTGTGCCAAGGTGACCCGCTTGGCGTTGAATGGAGTCTTGCGGAGCCAAAGACCCGCGTGGTGACGGTAGAAGATCGTTCTATTGCTTGGTCTGTTGGCCTCGTTCCTGGAATGCTCCTTTGTGGAGTTAAGCTCCAAGACGACGCTGAGTTCGAAGGGCTTGATGGGGCCAAGCGACCGAAACTCAACGGCCCAGGCACGTACCCGTGAATTATTGTGCTAAAGTGCACTACTACAGGTGTTACATGATGCCTTACGCCTACAGCATCTAACAACTGCGTAGATTGTTCTGATGCGGCGAAAGAACAGTCCTTCCGACTCCACAACAGGACCCTAGCGTACAAGAAGAAGGTGAAGCAACGCATCGGTCGTGTTGACGACGTGACACTCCTAGCCGAGCTTCAAGTCGTAGTTGCATAGGAGTATTGGATTGTTAGGCGCCGACGAATCGCGGTTCCTAAAGAGTCAAACTTCACTGAAAGCGTACGTACCTTCAACCGCAACTCCGCTTTCATTGTAAACTAGGACCACGGCGAGTTTGCGCCAACTGGCACATCAAGTCCATCACTAGAGGCAACACAGTCAGCGAACGAGCACGATCCTCAACCTGAACTGCAGATGAAGCGTCGCCGAGCATAGCTTTGCAAGGTACGGCATGTAGCGTTTGCGGAATTACATTCTTTGCAGGAGTTCTGTAGTTTGATTGGTTATAATATGCATATGACCATATACGCCCATGTGTCACACCTGACTCCAGCGAAACTCTGACTCAAATCGTCGTTGAGACATCAGCCGACTTGTGTCAACTGGATTTGCGTTTCAAATGTACACTATTTTTGCATTGGCCAATCAAATCACTGGAAAACACATAGCGAAACTCAAACTCAACAGGTTTTCGAAAGAGCTCTAATGTGCGCGTGAGTAATTTGAGAGTGATTCTTTTTCATTTATAATATTTGTGCAAACTAACCAATAGATACACGACGTCAACTTCACATCCACCAATACTCGCATTTCCTTGATTTTGCAAGCTATGTAAGTTTATTGCATATAAACTTATTGCATCAACTAACAGCAACATGACACAACATTCATTTCCTGTGTGTGTTTTGAAAGCACATTTCACGCACTATCCAATAAAAGGGGTCGCGAGCTTCTTTTCTACCAATAGTCGCATTTTCTGCACGTTGAAAGCAAATTATCTTGGTTTCAACCAACGGTCGCATTTCCAGCATATAATGATTAGCCAATGGACATGCGTCCTCACAGTTAATCCCACCCATCAGCCCATGCATTTAAAATGATATAATCTCGTGCATTCCTCCTCCTCTTCACCTAAGCTTCGGATTTTCCGTATTTTGCATTAGCCCAAAGGGGGTAAAACCATTTTCCTAATTGGGGGTTCTTTCCAGAATAACCTATTTGGTCTCTATTTATTTACACTCAACGTTGGAATCCTGCTTCGGGTGTTCCCGACACGCCACTCTTGACCGCCAGGTACTCCCAAACCATGCGTCCAGGTCATCGGCGCCGGTCACGCCAATCCCCAACACACGGCCGCACTGCATGGGCGCAGCATCAATACCAGTGGGTCGACTCCGCGTACGTACCCCACTTTTGTTTTGACGACCCACTGGCATACACCACCAGAGCGAAACACTGAAGCCGTGCAGTACAGTGCGGTAAGGGATAGATTCTAATGCTACGCTCAAGCACACGAATGATATGTCTGTCTACACGATCTCGTTCTTATGTCTGAGGCTTGTGAGCAATCCAATGCGTCTCAAGGACAACGTTTCGGCAACGCTTCCCTGCTACAATGCTCGTTCCTTGCTGCACGTTGATGGTCGCCACGAACATATACATGTATAAATACAACCATGCAATCGCAGAATCTAATCCACCTAACTGTAAACTCTGTACTTTGGAAACATTGCTACTTTCAAAACACAGATAATTGTTGCGCGCCACGTATTACTATTAATAGTACATCATAAAAATATAACGGTACTATTAATATTTATACAACTACTATTCATAGTATTAGACTTTATACACTACTAGTAGTACTTAGTAGTACTATGGAGTAGTGTATTAATAGTACTTCGAAGTTCTGTACAGTACTATTCTCTAAGTTTAGTAATACTTATTCGTATACTAGTAGTGTTACTACCAATAATAGTACACTACTACTGAAGTACTCCTGTATAAATAAGTAGTAAGGTAAATGATCGAATACTCGGACACGATTTGCTAACAACTTGTTTTTCGACTTTGATTGGACGTACTACGTAAGTCAGTAACTAAACATCCTCTCAAAAATCTCAAAGTACCACTCGAAAATACAATTCCTGGAGTTTTTTTTACTGCCTCATAGATACTCAATCAATGATAATTGCGATTTGTACTAAAATAAATACATGGAGTAAAATTAGTGATGTCAATTTCGATGCACTATAATTCTCGGACATAGAATTACCTTACATTTTGTATTGAAGTTAAATAATTTACAAAATATACGCCCCAAATACAATGCACGTATTATAATACCGATGGTGGACAAAAGTCATTATATTACACAAAATTTTAATAATT